CTGAAAATTATACCGTTCATTTTATTGATATGATACCGTGTCATATTAAGGTTTCTAGAAAAAGGTTTTCACATAATTTAGTATTAAGTTTCATTCTTTTGTAATTAGAAAATATAAACACTAAATAATAAATAGTTTTGTTAAAAAAATTAAGGTTTCTTAACATAAATTACTCAAGCAGATTATGTTATGTTCCGTCAGGAAAATATGCTGGGCTTATGCTTATAAGCTTATAATATTTGCTTTTTATATATGCTTATAATAAGCTTATTATCAGAATTTAACAAAACTCCGCTTGCAACTGTGGAGATCATCCAAGTGATCACAGACGCTATTGAGTAAAAGTGCTTTACACCCTAATTCGAGTTTCATCAGATAAAGAAAAGAAGAAGAAGAAGGTTATGTCTGGATCTGTTTGTGTTAAAAAGGTTATGTTAAGAAAGTTATATTAGGAATGCTATGTTAGGCAGATTATGTTAAGATAATAACGTTAAGAGAAGGACTTTTGTTATAACGATCCTAATTCGCATTTCATCACATAAAGAAGAAGAAAGTAATGGTAGGATCAGTTTATGTTAAAAAAGTTATGTTATGAAAGTTATGTTAGGAATGCTATGTTAGGCAGATTATGTTAAGATAATAACGTTAAGAAAAGGACCTAATTCGCATTTCATCACATAAAGAAGAAGAAAGTAATGGTGAGATCAGCTTATGTTAAAAAAGTTATGTTAAGAAAGTTATGTTAGGAATGCTATGTTAGAGAGATTATGTTAACATAGTTATGTTAAGAGAAGGACTTATATTATAACGACATTAAACATTTTAAGAAATAGTATATAAACATAACAATTTTTAAAGTAAATTAACAGTTGAGTTCTGACTCCCGCGTTTGACTGACAGCAATATTTTGCTTTAAAGTGAAAATTGTTGAAGCGGAATATCTTGTTTATTAGCAAGATTTCTTGATATCCTGTAGCGGTCAGTAGCGGAAATCAGATTACATTTAAAATAAAATATTATAATAGTATCAATGATAAGATGATAGATATTAGAAGCGAAGGAATAAAAGGAGAGCATATCTTGTTATGAAATTGTCAGTATTGTTCGCAAGTATTTTGTTGTGGTAAAAAGGCTGCTATGGTGATAAGAACAAACACAGATGGAAAATCATTTTTTTAAAAATATTTGATGAAAATTATATAAGCAAAAGAAAAGGTCTTATATCTTAATATATTTCACATTTCAATTATTACATTTTTAATGTACTTTACAGTTGATCGATTTATATACATTCATATAGATATATAAATATGTAATAGGGAGAAAGAAGTGTGTAGGAGGAGGGTATTATGATTGTAAGATGTGTAAAACAACATGCAACGACCGCCAAGGAACAAGTTGACAGCTGTTCAGTTTCTTAGACTTTCCCAAAAGACATGAGACCGACCCAACTTTGCTAAAGAAATATAATTTGTTAATACATTTTTGTTGCTGTGTTAAGTGTGCTTGTTTCAAATACGGCTTTATTTTATTTATTTATATAAGTATATTGCTTTATTTTAAAGGGTAGGCAACGTTGCTTACTTACTGCCGCCTGCCAGTCAATAGCTATTATTTATGCTGTTGCCGCTGTTGCTGCTGTTGTTGCTGTTGTTGCTGTTGCTGTTGGTGCTGCTATCGACCTGTCATTTCAATTTGGTATTAGAGGCAAATTCAACACAACGCAGCACAACACAACAAGTGCCCCATAAAAAATTAGTAGATGTGAAATAAAATACATTCACACACACACACACACACACACACGCACAATAAGCCACATGCACACCTACACACGTACACATATATTTATTTGGTGTTCTTGCGAGAGCGCCAGCAACATAAACTAAAAAAAAAAAATAAGCTAAACAATAAAAATTTTTGATACCATACACACACTTTTCCCTTAACAGTACTCCCATATGGGCGCCAACTTTTACAGCTGCACATTTCCTTTTGTTAACCAGAAATATATATTATTTACATGTGCTGCTGCTGGTATTGCAGAAGCTTACAGAGCAGAGCAGAGCACGGCAGAGCAGAGCTGAGCAGAGTAAAATAAAGTAGAATAAAGCAAAGCAAAGCAAAGCAAAGCAGAGCAGAGCAAAGTAGAGTTTCAATTTTGATGCTCTATATATTTATTATAAGAAGTGCGCGTAAGCAACAGCATTACAATATTTTTGTTTTTACCGGCTTTTAATGGTGTACAGGTGCAGATGTACCCAGTTGCTCTTTGAAGCTGTTAGCACTTTTCACCTTTTTTTATGGTTTTCTGTATGTTGTTAGTGTTACACGTTTCAAAACCAACAATCACAACAACAACAACAACAACAAACACAACCATTTTGTACGCAGCTTCTTAAAGCAATTGCAAAAGTAAAACGTAATATCTTTCAACTACAACACAAGGATTCAGCTTCAGCAGTACATAAATATAAGAGTGTGTACGTGTGTGTGTGTGAGTTATAAAATAGCTACCAAGCGACAACAACAACAACAACAACAATAGAAATAACAATGTCAATTTACTTCATGACTGACTGCAAAGACTATGACATCAACAGTAACAGCAACAGAAACAGCAACACAAACACAAAGGATACGAAAACAAAAAAAAAAACAAAAGCAAAAAAAAACACGTACATGTATTCAAGAATAAGGAATTCATTTCCGTAGTTTCTTGGCCTTATTTTTTTTTGTTTTTTAGATTATTGGTTGGTTGGCTTACATATACGTGTTTACTTGGGTGTGTAAGAGCTGCTATAAATATATATAAGTTGGTTGGCGTGTGTGTGTGTGTGTGTGTGTGCTTTTGACATGATTTTATGGGTTCAAGGTCTTTTGTTAAATGCTTTCACTTTTTATTTTTCTCACAAATTTCCCTCCAATTTTCTTGTTGTGTAAAGTGATTTTCTTTACATTTTTTTTCCTTTTATACTTGCTTTTGTTATTTCATAATTTTTTGTTATGATTTTACTTTCTTTTTGTTTTTGTATTAAGAATTTTAAAGAAGATTGAACGCCTTAAAGTATGCTTCAAGTTTATTGCAGAAAAAATTAAAACAAAATATTAATATCTATTTTTAAATCTTCTATAAAGACATACTCATAAAAATGAGTATGTGAATCTTTAATTTGTAATAAAATTAATCACCTTTTCTCGCAGTCAATTAAATATTAAATATATTTCACAATAAAATATTCCTACTAATACAGAAACACATAATATATTGATAAAATGTTAAAAGAATAAGAGAATAAAGAAAATGCTTTTCTTCAGTATTGAATAGTTAATATGGGTTGATAATTTTCGAACAATACCAATCTTTTATCGTTTCACCACCATAACCACAACAACGATGTTAGCTTCGAGATCAGACGAGGCGAATCAACATTGCTACGAGGGTTTCTAATAGGAATCTATTACGTGGACTCCTGTATGTGATTATATAGTTCTCTAATTGCACTTCTGTATGCCATACATATAAACATATCATAGCTATCACAGATTGATAAAGCAGTAGTGGAAGTTTTCTAAAGAGCTTTAGTTATCGACGAGTTGTTGACGACTATCGCAACCGATTGAACTACAAACAGAACGAGCTTTTTAAAATTATTGATATAGTTCAGCAAGTTAACATCAAGCGGCTATTCTGGCTTGGCCAGTTCATAACAGGGTTCGTATTTGCTCACTTGTGAGCAGCTCAGGCTCATGAGCAAGATTCTTATGTGAGCTCAAAATTGACTCATGAGCGTGAACCCAAACTTGGCTCATATTGAAGAGCTGCTCACCAGCGTAAACCTTCAAGTTGCTCATGTTGAAGAGCTGCTCATGAGGTCTCACGAGCCGAGAGCTCACGAGCTCAACTATTTAATAAAAAGCAATTTATTTGCTTTATGTATTTTTATAAACGTTATATGTGAAAATATATAATTTGAAATTAACTTGGCTTATTATTATTTTTATTGAAACAATAAAATGAAACAATAATTTGAATTTGAAAAACAAATTTATAAAATATTATTTTCCACAAATAAACAATACTAATATATTTATTGTTTATTTTAAGAACTTTGATTATTTCCATATTATAGTTAGTTCAAGGTTATTAATATTTTAAATCTTATTTAATGACATGTTTTCACAAAAAAAAATAATAATAAAATCTTATGAGCCGCAGCTCAAACTCTTGCTCACGAGCATGAGCCCATTTATAACTTAATGGCGGTTCTTGCTCGTGAGCGTGAGCTCTGTAGTTGGGCTCGCTCGTGAGCGTGAGCCATCTTATGAAAAGAGCTTTTTGCGGGCTCACAAGCCGTGAGCATAATGAGCCAAAATGGGCCGCTTATGGGTACGCAAATACGAACTTTGGTTCATAACGATCGATAATGATGGTCTTAAAAACACCGTATTTAAAGTAGCAGTTGCAGCAAGAAGGCGTATATAGGTAGACCGTGTGTCCAGAGGTGTGGTCAATTTGAGGGAGCACTAATCGCTTTTGATAACGGGCTGTTATGACCATTAAAAAAGAATTTTCGGACGTATTTCTCTTTCCTATGAGTTTTCACTTGTGTATACTTTACTTAAACTATATAAACTTCGATGGTATAGTGTAATGCTACAACTGTTATATATAAGTTTGAGTTTGAGTATTCAAACCCAATTTTCTTATGCAGAATGCTTTTTCAACTTTATTACCATAACAAAAAGTGTTAATATAAAGAAAAGAGCAGAAACCAATTAAATCTCGCATCACACGTAACGCTGCTATCGGTAGTTAGCCGTGTTGTGACCTACAAAAGTATTATCAAAATGATCAATAAATAATCTGTAATGGTTCTTTGCAAAAAATTACGATTATTTACAATATCAGAAACCTTCAATTTTCTTGAAATAAAATTTTCTTGAATAAAATTTAAAAACAAAAATACTAATTATTCTTAACCATATTTACACAATAGGTGCAGTATTCAAGGCACATAAATTAATATTGGCGGCATGTTCGAAGAAGTTTGCTGATCTATTTGAAACAACACCAACAAATGGACAATGCGTTATTATACTGGAGGCTACATCATCAGATAATATGGCTGCATTGCTAGAATTCATGTACAAAGGCGAGGTTCATGTGTCGCAAGAGGCTTTAAATAGTTTTCTCAAATCTGCAGAAAACTTGCAGGTAACTTATATCAAATTTTATTGCACGTTCATATATATACATATCACAGTATAAATAATAATGGAATAATTTAAATCATATAGTTTTAAAAATTATTATCTTAAAAATTGAATGCCCAATTGAATTGCATATTTTATTTACGATATTATCTTTAGGTTAAGGGACTTTCAACGGAAACAGGTCGTTTAGCAGCGCAGCAAGCACAACAACACATAGAATCTGCGCCACTCGATTCGCCCACATGTCGTCGCAGTATTCGCAACAGCTTAAGTGGCAATGGAAATACTAGCGGCACTGGTGGCGGCGGTGGTGGTGTTAGTGGAATATGTGGTGGTACTGGTAGTGTTGCTGGTGGTGGTGGCGGCGGTGCAGATAGTGGTGGTGGCGTTACGGGAAGTGGTAATATTATTACTGGTCCTGGCGCTCTCGGCAATAATATACCTGGTAACATGGGTAGTGGTAGCGGCGCTGGCGCTGCACATTCACTACGTGGGGCTTATACTGGTAGTCTCAAACAAGAATGCGATTCACTTATGCAACCGAGTAGTTCAACTCTGGGCGCAATGTCACCATATGTGCCACCCATGTACCGGCCAATGTCATTTGAACCATTACGTAAGCGTGCACTACGCAGTCCATATGCTGAACAAGAAGTACGGGGTAGTGTATTGCGTGACGGTTCAAAGAACTCATCAGATTGTGCTAGTCCTATCAGTAAACCGCCCTACCATCGCCCGTCGTCGAGCGCATCTTCTACAGCACCCACCGAAGCAGATACAATGCAATCAGAGCGAGCATCACCGCAGTCAAGGTAAATTATCTAGATATTTTCACTTTTTTCAGTAACTTTTTAACAAATGATAACTTCGAACTACATTTACTAAATTATAATATTTTGCTATTATATTAAATTAAATAAAAACAAATATAGCCGTTATGAGAATCATAGTCCCAGTACTACTGCCGGCAATACGAATGCTTCTAATAGTTTGGTTGGCATCCTCGATAGAACAGTTAAAACGGAACGAAATAATGGTAGTACAATTGAGGGTAATGATGACGACCGAGATGATCATGATGAATCTATTGATGTAAGTAAATTCTGACATTTTTTTAACTAAAAAATATAAATGCCTTAAGATATTTTTCAAATGTATTGCAACAAACTTAAGTTAACCCTCTACGTTTCAATTTTCTTTTGTGTCAAAAAATTACTGGTGATAATTTTAAAATTAGTAAGCTATATTTGTTCAAGAAAAAACTTTGTATAAAGTTAATTAAACTCATTAATAAATATTTATAAATAAATAAAGCAGTTAAATTGTAGGCTTGGTTAAAACATTATTGGTAACTAAAGGGTTAAACTGAAGTATTTATATATTATCATTCAATTTATAGTTAAAAAAATAATTTTTTGTATTAAAATAATTTTAATTTTGATTAGTAATAACTAAATAATCTATTATGTGCAATAAGATACGTATATATACATATATAGATATTGATATATGCTCATATTATTTATATGTTTCTTTTCATATGTCGATTAGACATTCTTATACATACTTTCCTCATTATGGTTTTTATATATTTTTTAAACCGGCTATAGTTTATTTTTTGTTAAATAATTCAACATTTAATATTGTTTTATATATTATATATTTTGACTACTCTCCTTGAGAGTCGCCATCAGTATCACGATCTAACATAAATTAATACAACTTAAAGTATATCTACGTCATCCTCTTTATTCTATCGTCTATATTGCACTTTTCTCATTATTTTATTATGTAAAATTAACAAATATGACTTTTTTTGTTCAAAATGATTTTGATTTATTATTTAAAATGAACATAACCTTTAGGTTTTATTAAAATTTTTTTATTTTTTTTCTTTTATTTTTATTTAAAAAATATTTTTTAATATTTAAAATTAATAAATATGATTTTTTACTTTTGTTAAAATCATACTTAATTTTATTTTCTTAATGTAGAACGGTGCAGAGGACTTGCGTGTTAAATTAGAGAATTCCAATTATTCTCCACAGCCACCACCTACCTCAAATACTTCTCCAACAACACCTACTCTACTGGATAATCTGAAAAACTCTGAAGGTGGACTACCGGGTGGCTTGGCAGCTAATATTGCTCCTGCTGATATGTTGAACGTTTGGAATGCAACAAAACTAAATAATAAAAATACCGGCAGGGTTAACACGCCAGATGGTAAGTAATAGAAATAGACTAACACTATTGCAATAAATTCTAAGTAAGCCCGATACTAAACTAATAACTAAAAAAATAAAAAAAAAGAAAGATAAAAGGATTTTTTAAATTAAATAAAATATAAAAAAAATAAGAAATAAATAAAAATAAGAAAAACATTGTTTATTTTCCTAATATAATATATTTGATTTTATGTATATTAAGTTATGAAAATTATAAAAATCCAAAACTAAATTTTAACCACCAGGTCAAAAACTCAAGTGCCTGTATTGCGACCGCCTGTATGGCTATGAAACAAATCTTCGTGCTCACATTCGTCAACGCCATCAAGGCATACGTGTGCCATGTCCATTCTGTTCGAGAACTTTTACACGCAACAACACCGTACGACGTCACATTGCACGAGAGCACAAGCAGGAAATTGGCATTGCTGCCGGATCTGATATCGCTCCGGCATCCGTTATTGCTGCTGAAGCAGCATCCGCCAATCATTCACAATAGGATGCGGCCGCAACAGCAGCGGCAGCAGTAGTTATGAGTGCACAAAAAGAAGCAGCAAAACAGCGAAAGAGAAAATCATTAAAGATGGCATTAGAGAAATGTATGCAGAGACGTGATGCAGCAGCAACAACCACACCATCAGCAGGAACAGGAACAGGAACAGCATTAGAAGCAACGAAAACAACAAGAACAACTTTTACAGCAGCAAAAGCAGCAGCAGCATTAATGGCAACAGAGGGTGTAATTGCGAAGATAGGAGATGAGCAGTTACCTAAAAGGCAGCAATCAGAGATTAGTATAGCCATGGACATTGTGGAGAAATCCAATATGAAAGCAGCAGACTCAACAGTTATCACTCATCCAACTGTGAATGCAGATATCGCAAAGGAGTCTACACTAATGGATACTAGAATTGATGTTTCCGCAAAAGTGGCACATGATACTTCAGTCGAAATCGTTAATATTTCAGTGGAAATGGAAACAGAAACTGAAAGTACAGATGATACTGAGGTGGCAACACCAGCTAAAATTGCAGCAGAAAACCTATTGCAAATCGCAGAAGCAATGGTTGATGTTGCAGCTCAAGCCCAAATTCATGTTAAAGTAGAGCCAATAACTGAAACGTCAGAAGTGAACACATTGTATAGAGCTAACGTCAATGAAAATGACGGTATTACCGCCATGCATGCCACAAAGGTTGCAACTGCAACTGCTACAATAATTGCTACAAAAGATTTAAAAAACCCACCGGAACAAAAAATGGAAACGGATTCCAATGAGAACTCCGTTGCTGCTAATACAAATCTTCAAAATGCTGAAAATGTTGCTAGAATCGCTGAAGCCAACGCAAGTGAGATTGCTGTGAATGAAGTTGCTGATGCTGCAGCAACTACAACAACAGCAACGCTGAACTAAACAGAAAAGGGAAGGAATATGTTATATCTATATAAATATTGATATAGATGTAGGTGCACTAAAGGAAAATTGAAGAATTGAATATGAACAACCAAAAATACCAACTGTGGTTGGATGCATGTGGATGCATAACTAACTTATTTTCCTATAGATATATACAAGATATATATAAACTACTGCAACAGCTGTTGTTGCTCGGATGTAATAATGAATATGTAAAATATTCAAAGTATGTAAGTAAAGTAAATTTATTAAAAAGCAGTAAGAACAGAAGAATTACCTGCAAAATTACTTCCAATAGTAATTATAATTAATAATATTATTATAGATTTTAATTAACTATAATCACAAGGAAGCCTGAAATAGTGAAACAGCATGCACAGCAAAAATTTTGTGTAAAATAATGATAAGAAAGCCTAATGAGAGAAAAGTAACGCAATAGAAACAATTAAAATATTTATTTAAGTTTTTATGTATTGTGATGGATTTTTTAATTGTAGGACATGATATCAACAATAAATGCAGTTTTACAAATAATTTAAAATATTAATTGTATAATGATACATAAAACGCAAATTAGTTAAAATTTTGTAATATAGATGGTAATATAAATGGTCAAAGACGAAACAAGCCTTTAAAGCTAAATAGTAAATCCGACTGAAAAATCGTTTTCAGGGTGCTAACTTAACATAAATAAGAAAATATTTTAATTAATTTTTTTTAATGATAATACAATAATAATACAAGTGCAAATATATGAAATAAACTAACAGTTGAAAATAAAAAAAATATTTTGCTTTATAGAGAGTACAAGCGCATAGTAATATTTGAAACAGAAATCTTTAAACGTAAGCGCTAAGTTGGTTCAAATATAAAAAAAAAATAAAATAATATAAAAACAAATATGTAATAAATAATTATAATTGTTTTTCTACAACAACAATACCAATCAATTTAAATTATTAAAAAATAAAAACAAAAAACAAAATACAATAAACACAACGACAATATCTACAACAAAAAGCAGAAACCAACAACATTTTTTTTTTTCAAAGTTCGAACGTTTTTGATTGGTCAAAAAAAAATATTTTTTATTAAATTAAATATGTATAAGCAAAAAAAAAAACAAAAATATTATTATATATTTTTTGTACTGTACGTAAATGTTAATTAATATATAACAAAACTCTTTTTAACTTTTACAACAGCTGCATTTATTATTTATTATTTTATTTTATTTTATATTACGTATATTAACAGTTTTTAAATTAATTTTTTTTTTTATTTTTATTTTTAACAAAACCAGTGATTCCGTTTTTAAAACAAATTTAAAACAAAACAGTCACCAAACGTACCTATTTTTTCAACTATAGCAAACAAATCATACAAATTTATAATCAAAATAAAAAGAAAAAGAAAATAAAAACAAAAAATAATAGATTAATTTTTTATTAAAAATATAGATCCACATAGACTCACTTTTTCAAAGTATTTAAAATACTTATAATTTACAATATATATGTATATTTAACTTTATATATACTGTAACTATAATAGTTTAACCATATAGCAACAGAAGCCAATAGTACAATTACAATACGAGAGTATCTTATATGTTTTTATATTTTTACCACAAAAAGTACATTTATTTATATTAAATATTTTAATTATTTTAACTTTTTTTTAATTAAAGAAATAAAATGAATAATAACTGAGTATAAAGATTAATTATTTTTTGTCAATTGGTTTTTAGCACACCAATCCGGAAGATCAAGCATGCACCTCGCAAAATATAGACACATGACGGACGTCTTGACTTCACATACAGTATATAGTAGCGTGAATACAGTAGCGTATATAAGAGTGTGGTTTTGAGTTCACACCCTCGCTACTAAAATAGTTCGGATCATTTTATATTTGATATACAAAATATTTTTCACTCATATCCGTTTGATATGCACTTCAAATCAGTTTTCAAAAACCAATCCAACTCTCTATCTCTATCCCACTCTAATAGATATGAATTTATATGTCCGTGTCTATAATATAATATAATATCTATAATACCTCTAAAAAATTATTAATACTACTGCTTCGGGAATAGAACTCAAACCACTAAAAAAATCTATATAGATGTTTACCTCAACGTGGTGTCGCTAAGAACCAATAGGTCTATGTGTGGTTTACAACCAGCAGAATCAACTGAACTTATTTTTCTGTTTCTTACAATATTTTGAAAATCAATCAATTCTTTAGTTTAGCTTTTAAGCATCTCTCTTCCCTACAAATGCCAACTGTATAGTATAATGTTAATAAATACAATAGTTATTCATATATTATTTAAAGATTTTAAACGCAATAAATAAATCGATTTCACTACGGTAGGAGTATTCCAACCAAATAATCAGCCAAATAAGCTTAGAAATAAAGCATAAATCCACTTAATCTTAGATATGAGGTTTGACTTCAAAATGAATGTTTTATCAACATTTAAGATTTCTTCAGGGCGAGGGATTAAGTAGTCCAGTTCCTTATTCTTAGTTAACTTTAAAATTAATTTCACAAATAAATAAATAAATAAGATTTTTTTATTCTTAAATAAAAATAAAAAGTTAATATAACTTTTATTTATATTCTTAACTGTTTAAAAATATTCATTATTTTAAAACTATGTTTACTTTTTAGTGAATATAAAAATGAAATCTTCAGAAGTCTATATAGGCATATTACTTATTATAAAGTTATATATTAAAGTACTCAGTTTTAATTTTATTCATTTTATTGCTCTGATTATGCTTTCCAAACTGCTTTTTAATGCTTTCTTTTATTCCAAAATACATATTTTCAAAAGTTCTTATAATAATAGTAATAATAATAATAATAATAATAATTATGATAATAATAATATTTAATTTAACACCCTGTTTTTAATTCTATTTTATTATTTTTTAATTATTATTTATATATAATATAGTTATTGTTATTACTCTTTTAATTATGATTACTATTACACTATTATTAAAATTACTTTATTATTATATTTACTATTTTAATTTTATTATTATTGTTTTAATATTTTCATCATTATTTTGTTATAATGATGATGAAGAGGTATAGTCCTTTAGTCGGTAGGAGTCTGGCACACTAGTGTCATGACGATGATATTGACTGACCATAATGGCTATCGCACGCCTCACCGCAAAAAAAACGACTATAATATTATATTATTATTTTTATAATTATTAATATTATTATTATCATTATTATTTACATTATTATTTTTATTAATATTATTATCATTATTATTTTTATTTTTACTATTATATTCATAATTATTACTATTGTTATTATTATTACTATATAAATGTTTTTAGCTCTGGGATGATTATTATTGTAATTACAACTATTACCGTTTATATTCTTATTATTATTATTGTTATTATTAATACTATTATTACGATATTTATTAATATTATTATTATTGTTGTTTTTATTAATTCTATCAATACTGTTTATATTATTCCTATTATGAATATTGTTATCATTTCTGGTTTTATAATTATTATTGTTATTATTACTATTCTTATTCTTTATTATTGGTATTCATTGTTATTATTCTTTATTATTGGTATTCATAATTACTATTCTTTATTATTGGTATTAACTATTATTATTATTTTAATATTATTACTTTTATTATTATTACTTTTATTATTATTATTATTTTTATTATTATTATTATTGCTTATATTATTACTAATAATATTATTATTCATTATTATTCTTATTTATCATTATTTAACACTAGTTACCATTATTTTTATTATTATTATCATTATTATTATTTTTATTATTATTATTATTATTATTATTATTATTATGTTTGTTTTCATTTAAAATTCTTTATATTTTATTAGCAATATTTTTTTCATCTGTCCAATTAAGAGTATATATACTTTATTTTAATTATATAAACTTCTAGTGATTTTTTAAAAATTGTTTATTTTCGTTTAATTAAAAATGTGTATTTATTATTGAAGCTTTGTAATTACTTAAATAGACAATGGTCTTTTTTAACTATCAAGTTGTCATTTGCTGCCTTCGATTTACCAAATCTATATAGTCTTGCCAATAGAGCGACTTCTTAACTTCTGAGTTATTTGGCATAAAATCCTTAAATTGTTGTAGTTTTTTTAATGATTAATTTCGAAATTATGTTTGATGAACAATTAACAAGAGAATTTGACAAACACTAACTTAGCGGAGAAGCTAAGTCAATACAATATCGAGTCATAATGGATACTTATGTATAGATTATATATTTATATATATAGATTATGCCTTATAAGGATAAAACTCATCAAGCTATAATATGCTTTTCATACTACAAACTGAAGGTATCTTACGGAATAAGTCTTAAGTGTACATTCACATTCCAGAGCACTCTCAGAGCAGCCAAAATCAGAAATTTGATTCAGACATGCGAATAATATAATATAGATAAGTGCAAAAGCGAAAAACCAAAATTTTTAATTAACAACTTAAGATGCTTTTTTTCTTGCCTTCTTGCGCCAGAAGGTTGTGAGGCAATTTGAAAACAAGAAACACATATACAACAGTTACAGCTTCAGTGGGGTGAGCATTAACTCACGCAGTGTTAAGAGGGTATAAGATTAGCACGTGAATCGAACGTAGCAACCACTCATTATTTTTATTATTCATTTCACAAATAATTTTTTTAATTTCTGTATTAAATATTAATTTTTTTTTTAAACTACGACAGTTAAATAATATTTTTATTTTATTTATTCATAAATAAATACCATAAGTGTCATTAAAAATGAATTTATATAGTTATATATTGTCCGTTTAATAAAATGCCAGCCTATTTAAACTCCGATTATCTTGTATGATTGGAGCTAGTATTTATGATATATACACAAAAAATAAAGGAATGTAATAATCTTTAATACTTACCAAATACAACAACAAATAGTTACAATAATTCTTTACAATAGAGTAAGATAAACTCTTTTCCTTTTATGGAAATATAAGATTCTAATACACAAACAAACAGAACCATAACCTTAGAAATAGTAACCACAAGTACCTGCAATATTTTTAAAAACAAGTAATAAAATTAATAATTAAATAAAGGGAAAAAATGCAAAATACTATAAAGTGAAATAAATAAATAAATTTTTATCATTCATTTCAATTTTAATAACTAATAAGAGCAAAACTTTGTAAATAAGAAATCGTTGTTTTACTCTCAACATTTTTATTAAAACTAAATACTTTTTCATACATTTTATGTAAATGTAATACTTTTAAAAAATCATATAATATACATTTATATGTATATATGTAAGATACATTTTAAAATTATACATTCAATAATAAAATAAATTTAATTAAACATTTTAACACTCTTTTGGCAACCAAAATTCATTTTAAGTTTCCTTTTACACCGCAAACAGTTTTAGTTTTTTAATATAATTTATATATACAGTAATCC